GAAGCACTGCCCTCGCGGCTAGAGTATTTATTGAAGCCTTATAACATGCTATGTTTATCAGCACCCGGACCCTGCCACAGAGGCCCTTGACGAGGTCTATCCCCCTTCAGGAAGGCGGTGAGGTGGAGGGACAGCTGCAGAAGATGCTGTTCGCGAGCTGTCCTGGGGTCATGTTTCTTTTGACTGCTGATTCCGTGAACGATAATTTGACTTGAACACGGCCTCCTAACGAAGGATCTTTCATTATTGCTCTTCCGTGGGTACGAACTTCTGCTCTACTATCACAACGAGAACGTCACTCACTGCACGAAAAATGACCGCAACCCGATGCTCAAGTACGTGCGGCCTCCACCTCGCTGCTTGCCTTTTCTTGGAACACTTTAAAGGAGCTGGGGTTGTAATTCTGCCATTCAGCTGGTTACTTTCGGGCGGCATTGTGTATCCAAGGAATGGCAGAGCACATCACGCGTGGCGCTTCGAATCTGGGCTTCGTGCTTGGTATATATTAAAAGAACCGAGGAGCATTCAGCCTCTGGAGCACTTGCCGCTGCAGGGTTTCCAGGGGGATCATCGTCCGCTGAGATTGGCTGCCAGGATCGATGCCGAGCATCTGGCCAGCCTAAGATATGAGTCATAACGGCAACCATGTTGAAGACTAAATTTTACATAAAAGGAACCGAGAATGATGACCATGATGACCAAGCAACCTCTGCAGCTTCCCTCTTGCACCTGTCTCTCCTCCTCTTAGCCTTATTTTTTTTCGCCTTCCTGACAGGCTTCGACTTCGAGGGAGCGGAGACCTGAGGGATTTCCCAATATCAATGAAAGCCCTTGTTCCTCCACCATTTTATCTCTTGATGACTTCAAGTTATCAACCATTTTTCAACCCGTCACAAGCCTCCGGTGCTGATGCATGCCCTGTCTGCGGCTCAGGAGGATCTGCAATGCCAGCATCCTCGTCCGAAGAACTACAAGATTATAAAGCCCACCCCCAGCCCTAAACCCTAAAACTAAAAACCGCAAATCCGCAGGCAAAACCGAATGATTCAAAGCAAGAGTCCGGCAGCAGCGACCGGTGTAGCGCGAGCCGCAATGCCTCGTCATCATCACCCAGCCGGATCATCTGCTGCTGCTGCTCCAGGACGTCATCCTGGCGATATCGGGGAGGGCGTGTTACATCCCTAGTTTGAAAGGCCGAGGCCGAGGATATCGTCAAATGGGCCGGATGGCTTAACTAAACTCTAAACCCTGAGCGAGATTTGAATCCGGAACCCATGGTCCTCCAAATCAGAGCAGTCGCCCAACTCAGTCGCGACTTCAGTAGGCCGCGGAGACAGCGCCGGCTCCGTCGAAGAGCAGTCAGGATCACGCTCCCGCTCGGCCATGTTGTGACACGGGTGTCTACGGTGCAAAACTCTGTGTCTCTGTGTGTGTGTGTGTGTGTGTGTGTGTGCGTGTGGTGTGTGTGTGTGTGTGTGTATGTAGGTGTGTGTGTGTGTGCGCGCGCGTGCGTGCGCACGCGCATCTGCGTGTGCCCGCATGCACGTGCGTGAATTTGCATGCGCCGTAATAGAGCATGCAACTGAAACTGGATGTACATATACCTGCGTATACCCACCCGCTGGCATCGGCAAATGTACACACAACAGTATACATTTATACGTATGTATGTACAACAACTTTAGGCGTGTAGTGTAAATGCACCGGTTTTGAGATTAAAGTTCCTAGGGCTTCTATACCGCTTTTCTTGAGGTACGCTGCTGCTTCGCGGGTACCTCTTTGAGCCGCAGCGTGTAAGCTTCCCGTCTGATTTAGTTAGGGCTCTAGAGTTTTGGGGAAAGTCGTAGCCTTAAGTGCCTAAACCCGAATATAAGCGAGGCCTCATTCCTAAACCCTAGTTCTGAGATTATGATGCATCCCAGGCCACGAGCGTCTCTGAACCTAACTCGAACGGCAAGACTAGCCGCAACAGAGCTCCTGACGGAAAAATGACAAAGATGGCGCCAACATAACCAGCATAACGTCGCCCAATTGGCTTCCGAGCAGCCCCATACACCCGATTGAGCTCCAAACTCCCCCATTCATGAGTCCCAACTGCATGCGTAGTTGAAATCCTGCACCTCGAAGTTCTTCAACCCAAGAAAGGCCCCACCTGCTCAACCGGTAAGATGGCCCAGGTGACATCGGCGGCCAAGTCCTCGCTCGGGCGCTCAGTTCGAAACGGATCCTCGGCAAGAAAGTCTCCGAGATCCTTGAAGGTAGCTCTAGATCCTATACTTATAGCATTATCGTTCGTATGACAGCCAGATTAGATACCGATTCGGGACAGTTGTTGATACCCTCTTGTTGTTTAATATAGACATAGTTTCTGGGACTGCTGCTCTGAACCCGACATAGTTGAAGGCTTGGTTGGAGTTCGTACAGAGGTCCATGTCAAGGAACTCATGTGAAGTTGCGAAGGCTAGGTAATCAGGACGGCTGGTCACTAAGTTGCTATATGCCCATCTTATGTTAAGTTAATAAGTAAGCTCCTTAACAATGCACCCAGGCTTCCCTCATAAGAATGTAACTTTACACGGACCGTGTTGTTTTGTGCTTACATAGAGCCAGTGGGAAATGCACTCAGACCTACTTTGCATAAAGTAAGAGTTTTGCGGGGGTTTCGTGGGGTGCTGTGTCGGGCTGTCCAACCGGAAATCGTTTCGAGAAGGCTTTTTCGGTTGTATTCCTGCGCCCGAACCCATACATTCGGGTCTTCAAGACCTATTACCTTGGAGAAGTGCGTCAGGGTAGTTGGTAATCATACCCTCTTTTGGTGCCCTTGTGATTCAACTAAAGATTCGCCAAACTCCCAGGCGAACCAAGGGGCGCTATACTCATTAAAGTCAGACAAACCAGCTATTGACCTCGAAGCCCAAATAAAGCTAGCAATGACCATTTCCATTTTCTAATCATGCACCCCCCCATAGCACCAAAACCATAACAACCTATACCTCAACCTTCAACTCACCCAAGACCCATACATAGAACCCTAGCAAAGACCCACCTGAAGAACCCAAACCATAACAACCTATACCCAATACCCACAAGATGGAACCATTAGAAGACGCCACGCCAGAGGCGCGCGTGCTACGCGACCCGTACACCACCACATAGAAAAACCCCAACCAAAACTCCATACACCACTACTCCCATAGAAAAACCCATATTCCCAACCCGAAATCCCTAACCCTAGAAAATGGAAATAGTCATCTTAAATAGTTTTACAATAATAGGAATAAGGTTTAGGAATAAGGTCGTATCGACAGAGAACAATAATAGCTTTATCTACTTGTTTGGATTCCCGTTTTTCAGCTTCAACCACGCCCTCCCTGGAGCAATTCTTCTTACATCCAACTCTCAATGGCCATGAAAGCTGTCCTGGCACTTGCCTTTTTCTGGACACACAGGCCTACATTCCAGTCGTCTCTCGCACTCCGTCCTGGCTTCTGGTGCGTCCAGTCGTCTCTCGCAATCCGTCCTGGCTTCTGGTGCGTTCCCACGCCAAGTCAGTCACGGAGTCGTACTTCCGCGTCCTCGCCGCATTCCACATATCTTCAAGTTGCCAGCAATTCCTTAGTGCAGCCTGCAGATTTTGGACCAGATTTGGCAGTCTCAGCGGTCACTATCAGACTTGTGCAGTGCGGACAGATGGCCAGCTCGTCTGCTTTGGAGGGCGGTGTGACGTGCCAGCAGATTTGGGAGCAGTTTTGGCAGTCTCAACGAACACATATCATACTTGTGCAGTGCGGACAGATGGCCAGCTCGTCTGTTTTGGAGAAAATGTATTTGGGCGGTGTGACGTGCCAGCAGATTTGAGACCAGTTTTGGCAGTCTCAGCGGGCGGTGATCATACTTGCGCAGTGCGGACAGATGGCCAGCTCGTCTGTTTTGGAGCCAATGTATTTGGGCAGTGTAACGTGCCAGCAGATTTGGGACCAGTTTTGGCAGTCTCAGCGGGCGAGTATCATACTTGTGCAGTGCGGACAGATGGCCAGCTCGTCTGCTTTGGAGCAAAGGGACAAGGGCGGTGTGACGTGCCAGCAGATTTGGGACCAGTTTTGGCAGTCTCAGCGGGCGGTGATCATACTTGCGCAGTGCGGACAGATGGCCAGCTCGTCTGTTTTGGAGAATATGTATTTGGGCAGTGTGACGTGCCAGCTGATTTGGGACCAGTTTGGGCAGTCTCAGCGGGCAGAGCTCATACTTGCGCAGTGCGGACAGATGGCCAGCTCGTCTGTTTTGGAGAAAATGGAGGGCGGTGTGACGTGCCAGCAGATTTGGGACCAGTTTTGGCAGTCTCAGCGGGCGGTGTTCATACTTGCGCAGTGCGGACAGATGGCCAGCTCGTCTGTTTTGGAGAAAATGTATTTGGGCAGTGTGACGTGCCAGCAGATTTGGGACCAGTTTTGGCAGCCTCAGCGGGCAGCTATCATATTTAGGAATTTAGGCGGTGTGGCCAGATGGTTAGCTCGTTGGCTTTGGAGATTCAAGTGTCATGTATCATTATTTTAGTGATAATTAATCATATAAACATACAATATTATTAATTATTATCAATTTCAAAACGCTGTTGGAAGTTTATGAAAAACATATTATTAACATCCTTGGCGTTGGTGTTTATGTAGAAGAACGA